TATCTACGTTGTTAACGACAAAAGTTACGACACAATAAGGGAACTCGACAATTATATGGTAAGTAATATAGAATATTGCGATTGTACTATATTTTAGTTAAAATATTCTATATATATATATAGTATTTATGTAGATTTTATTTGTTTCATAATTAGCTAGCATAGTTTTCGATATATGTATGTAGTCTTCGCATGTTAGGTAAGCACAGTTCTTAACTTAATAAGCCTGCCATAACAAACGAGATCAAGTCAAGCATTAACAGCTATAGTATATGCATTTCATTGTCAGATTTTACAGCTAGATACTACACTAAAAATAGCCGAAAAACGAATAAAATTTTTATTTATTGGTTAGCGTACTCATTTTGCTTGTCATTGCACTTTGAGCTGAACGTAAAGAATTTGAGTTGGTTTTGGAAGACATAGGTAATGAAAAAGCACAAGGTTAAGTCGGATTCTAGACAGACAGGACTAGTCAGGCAGGCATTTAGATAGTTAGCTTCCTAGAAAGTGTATGGATTGGTGATGGTGGATTTTGTTTGTTGGGTTCTTTGTATAGGCATTGCTTAATTAAGCTGGGGATGCGCAAATCAAATTGAGAGTAAGCGGTAAGTCGAGCACGCAGAGTGAAAAGAAAAAATGGTGCGGCGAGCCAAAGCGCGCTTGTGTGTGAAAGGCGTATAGAATGGGGTTGAGTGAGGGGCGTGGTCGGCATAGATACGAGTATATGTTGGCATATAATAGACATACAAGAGGGTGTAGAAAGCGGCACAACATAAAACACAATTAATCATGAGTCGATTATGTGGAAAACCAAAATAAAATACCAACACACAAATAAGTAGTTTTTTTTTTTTTTTTTTTAAAGGCTCAAACTATATTTAAAAACACGATATATTTTTTTTTAGGTAAACATGAATAAACTATAGAAACTAAATTAGTGGCAAACATTTAACATTTTAACATTAGACATAATAGTATGTACGTTTAAATTAAAAACAAATTTTACAGAGATAATCATTATCTTAAAGATCAACTAATTAAGAACTTCGAGCGCAACGCTGTATGTTTTTCTTGGAGCGTTACTGATAAATCGGACTAATACTGCATTTATGCGTAGACGATAATGGTTATTTAACAATTTATGTCGTAGAAGAATTTCAACAAATGCATGACTTTCCTGATCATCCAATATTTAATTTTCAATAGCTTTTTATTCCTATTTTTCACGATTATCGCACGCATAAATGTTGTATAAGTTTGCAAATGCGCAAGTCAGTGGCATTTATGTTTGTATGCATTTATGTTTAAACTAAATCAATTTGAAAAAGAAAACATAACTACGCTAACAAAAAAATGTGTAATAGGGGTGTAAGTACATAAATCATATAACGGTAAAATTACATAAAAAACATGGAGTTGATTACGTAAAGAAATCACACGAGATCTAAAATTAAAAACTTAATTCATTTGCCATACATTTTTATTTAATAAACATTGAATTGTTGAATACATAAATTGATTTGTTTTATTTCTCTTCTAAACGAAAAAATGGACAGAAAACATTTGTAATAAGTACACATCATATATAAAAATGCCAAAAAGAGAAAGAGAGAGAGTGAGAGAAAAACACAAAAATTTATCTAGAAGGTGTTTCTAGAGTTTTCTTTGTTTTTTGTCAACGAAAGGGTAATTTTTAACATAACAGTAACATAACATAATTTTGGTGGCTTAACAGTGGGCGTAAGTGTGAATGTGTTAGAGTGAAACGGATAGATAGACAGTGATTGAGAGTGTTGGCGATTGTGTTCGTGTGTACGAGCGGGATGTGGCTAAGTGTACGATTTCTAAATTGGTTTACAAAATTTTCAATTCGATTTCAGAATTTAGAGCTTTAGTGTAATGTACAGTTGTATATGAGTGAGTGTGAAGATAAGTCTAGAGTACATAGTGTTCATGTATGCATGTACTTGTATGTATATCGTAATTATGTATGTATAGCAAAATACAGCGTATAACATAATTTTATTTTTTGCGTGTATAGTATATGTAGTATTCTATGTATAAACTAGTCAATATTCGTTAATCATGTTCGTTGCTCAAAATCAATTAATAAAACAATTAAAATACAACAGCATTCACGGCTAGTCTAATCACAAACTAGAAAGAACTAGCTAGCTAGCTAACTAACTAGCTGAAGTGTAAGAGAAGTACAAGAGAAAGAGAGAGAATGAGAGAGTCAGGCAGAGATTGCCAAGAGAGCGAGACAGCCAACAGCTAGCATGTACGCACACAACTGTACCTCACAGCAGAGTATGCAGCGATTTATGGCATTTAATAGGAACGAAAGGTAGGTATTTTTGCGGTATTACGTACCCGCGTCTTGGGAGCGCTTCTACTGATCTGAATCTTTTCTATTGTGTTAGCTATCACAGTGTTTCGTTTACCTTCGTTCTACTATTTATTGTTTCTGTTAATTAAGCTCTACTGAAAAGGAACTTAAGGACTAAATGCTCTTCATGGGATATTATGGTGCGCATTTAAAACTCGCTATGAAAATGGCAAAATGAAGTCGTTGTATTATACAAATTGAATGGCATTTAGGCACCAAGTCGAAATAGCTCCGAAATTTTGTGGATTATGGCATAGGGAGTGAAGGTCTTTAAATGCGAAGGGATAATCGAAATGTAAGCATTGTTTGTTTATTGAAAGCTACTTGTACAGCAAACGGGTTTTATGACAAATATTTTAATTTTTTTTATTTTGTCATGGTTTAAGTATTAGGTGGAAGGCTTGATAGTTCAGTTTTGTGACGATCTTTGAGTAGATAGTTTACAGAAATTTGTGCAAGCATGGCGTGCTTTCTAGACTAAGTAATCATAATGCCTATGGTACATGGTATAACTAAAATCTAACGCATCTAGCTACTTTCCAAGTAAAATGAGGCACACGTTTCATACGTTTCTTATAGTACGTTTTCAATGTGAGACTAAAAAATAGCCAATAAAAACGAGTTTAAGTACAGTTGCGTCTGTGAATTCTAAGTCATCGTAGTATCTTAGTCCGTCTGTGTATTTTTGTTCGTGTGTGTGTGGGCAAGTGCGTGTGTGTGTGTGCTCGTGAGGTCTTCACTTGGAACTTGTTTGTTGCTGTTTAGGAGGTTTTCATTTTCTTATAAGGATTCAGCACTACTGCTGCACCACCATTTGGTTGCCCAGCTGCCGCAGCAGCGGCGGCCGCAGCCGCTGCAGCATACTGCTGAGCTGTGGGTGCTGCCGTGGGCATGGCATAGGCGGCATAGCCACCGGGCACAGCCGAAGTGGGCATTACGCCGGGATAGAAAAAGCCAGGGGCAGCAGCTGCTGCTCCGTATGGCGAATTGGTGGCCGTGGCCAATTGGATGGGCGCAGCAGCTGGAGCACTGGGCGCGCGCATCATTGTGGGTGTGGCAGCAGTGGACAAGTAACTAGCAGTGGGTGTGCTGGGGCTGCCAACAACAGCACCTCTTGAACTGCTGGGGTGTACTGGGGTGCCCGGAGGCACTGGTGTCGACATTCCTGAGTTCGGCAAGGAGCCAAGCTGCTGACGCATTTGTGCCATGGCGGCGGCCTGCGCTTGCGCCTGCATCTGCAGAAAGGCGGTAAGATTGGGCTGGGCAGGTGGTGCCACGGGCTGTGGCGGCGCCACAAAGGCCTTATTTAGGGTCATGCCCGTGTATGCGGCAGCAGCAGTTGGAGCAGCCGCTGATTTGCCGGCGCTCGCCACTTTCATGGCATAGTTCTTTTGGGCCACCTCCTTCGCCAATGTGGCAGCATCGGCCGCGTAATAGGGACCAGGCCCTAGAGCCGTAGCCGCCGCATAGGCCGCGTAAGCCTGCTGGGCATAGGCGGCTTGTGCCTGTGCCACTTGTTGTTGCTGCTGTGCATGAGCATGTGCTTGCGCTTGCGCCTGTGCCTGCGCCTGCGCGTACGAGTTTTGCGCTTGTGCCTGTGCCTGTGCCTGCGCCTGGGCATAGGAGTTGGGCACCTGTGAGCTGGCCATACTGACGACGGGGGCAGCGCTGCTGACTGGAGTCATGCCGCCATAGCTGGTATAGAGATTGCCGTAGCTGTAGGCTGGCATGGCGTAGCTGAGACGCTGCTGCTGCGCTTGATAGGGATGGGAGAATATGGCGTTTGTGGTTGTGCTGCTGCTGGCACTGCTACTGCTGCTGGAAGTGGGCGTGGGCAGAATGCCGCCACCGGTGTAGATATGGCCATGGCCGTGGCCGTTGGTGTAGGGCGCACTCGAGGTGCTGGCGCTAACACCGACACCATTGTAGCGCAGATAGCTTTGCTCGCCATTTTGCTTTGGAGCTGACTGATACGAGCGTGGGGGAGTGGCCAACGCGTAGGGGGTGCTGTGGGAGGGGGAGCCAGCGGACTCATCGGCGGCAGCGGAGTTGCTGACTGCGGACGCCTCGGATCTTGGCTCGTCGCTGTTCGCTTCGGACTTGTTGCCGTTCAGGTTTTTGTTGATGTATGTCAAGTAGTTGTTGTTGTCGCTGGTAGCGGCGTGAAAAGCGTTCGGGTTGGTGTCTTCGCTAGTGGGGGAAGCGCGTGCGGTGGGCGCGTTGGGTGAATGGGGGAGAGCGGGGGGACTGGAGGGACTAGCACTACCGTTGCTGTGGGGTGTTGGGGGATCGCACAATGAGGCTGTTGTTGTTTGTGTTGTTGTTGTGGACTCAAGCTCTTCGGCTGTTGCTTGTGTTGTGTTGTTTGTTGGCGTGGTTGTTGTAGTTGTAATTGTTTGTGTTGTATTACAATCGATAGCCATAGTAGCAGTTGTATTTGTAGTTGTTGTAGTAGCAGTTGTATCATTATTATCAATATTATCATTAGTAGTATTTGTAGCAGTAGTATTTATATTATTAATAGTAGTATTATTATTAATATTACTGGTAGTTGTAGTGGTAGTAGTAGATATGGCGCTACTTATTGCAACTGGTTGTGGATACTCACATGAGACTGGCACGTAGGGCTGCATTAGTTGTTGATAGGTTGTCGCACCGGGTTGATACACTGGAATGCCAGACTTTTCGGCAGCTGGACGTTTGAACGGCACCATGCCAGAGAATTGCTGAGATGCAAAAAGAAACATGCGGTTGAATGATTAGTAAATTATATGCTTCAATTTCATTTATTATCAGTTCATTAACTACTTCTGTAGCTTAGGCTGTTATAGCTTTACAATTTAACAATAGCTTACAAACGAGCTATCACGTCGCTTACTAATTTTGATTTTCACTTTGAATTTGTGTGCCAATGAAAGGGTAGTCGAAGTTATTTTTTAACATGTAAATGAAATAAATGAATATTAAGTTGAGAGTAAACGAAACTTAAATAATTAAAACGGTTATAATAGTAGACTAAACAAAAATTTGCGTGCAGAGCTCCGAGTTTTATTGTTATTGTATAATGAACAGGACTGGGCTGGACGGGAAGGCTGTGCTTTGCAGGACTTTGGTTTATTTTTCTGGCAAGCCGATGCTTCAGCAAGTTTCGTGAAATGATTTATGAACATAAAGTTTAACAACAACTGTACAAAACACTGAGCCAGGCAGTAATGTAAAGTATATAGTACAAAGGGATCTTTTTAAAAAGTATTCCGAGCATATTGGCCAATAAATATTGCAGCACTTTAGGGCTTATGGGATGTTGAAAAAGTGTATTCATCAAATGATAATGTAAATCAAATAAACAGCATACTGAATGAAATGTTTTTTCTTTTGTTGAATTAAATTTTTGTTCTCGTTTTCGCATTTGACCAATAACCGAACCGATTTTATTTAGGAGCCGTATTTGGTGCAATATTTTCATGTTATTGATTTCGTCAATAATTTTATAAACGTATATAGATTATTAATCATACATAGAATTAGTTAGAGTTTCAAAAGGTTTGTAGAATGCATGCGCCAATTATGTTTGCCAATATTGTGATTATATTTTTTATTTAGAATTTATCTTAAACTGTGTTCCTGGCAGAAAATGATTTCTGTAATTAATGACCCGTGTACTAAAAAGGCTGTGGATATGAAGAGACCAAAATTGCGCCACGAAGTACCGCATTGAATGAAAGTTTGAGGCAATTTAACTATTCTGTGTAACTTGAAAAGAGAGGCGAGTGGAGGAGACAGAATGAATACGATTGGAACACAGACGGACAAAGCGTTACTATTCGGGTTAGCAACAACAAATTGTTGAATATTTTTTGGGTATCGACGGGCACCATTAGTTTGGTTATACTATACTAGGCGAGTATATTTGGAAAGCAAGAAACACAGTCTAAATATGATTAAAATTTATTTGAAAATTATATAAATGTGAATATTGAATATTTGGAGTATTTGCGTTATGGTTGTTCATTTGTTGAATACTTACGAAATTATCATAGTAAAATGAACCAGCGGTTTTAACATCCATCTTTTTGGTATTTGTGTATACATTATGCATTATTTATTTATTTAATTTATATTATTGATATACAGCAGCAACAATTTTCAATATTTTTTTTAAATACCAATGACATGTATTTTTTGTCGTTCAAAAATTTCATTCATCGTTATGGTGTGCATGAACGTTGATTTGTTGTTCATCGATGCAGATTAGTTTGGGGGATAGTTTTTGTTGGTATTTGTACAGTTTCATTATTGTTATGATTTTCATATATATATATATATAGATATGTATATATGTTGTTTTTTCGTTTTTTGGTTTTGTTTTGGGCAACACAGTAACACAGACATAAAACGAACACGAACAAAGAATCGAAAAGTAAACAAATGAGGAAAGAGAGAACACAAGAAAATTAGTAATATATAGTATTTGGATTAATATTAGGCGCTCAGTTACTTAGGTAAACTAAGTATATATAGACGAAATACATATGTATATATAGATCTAGAAATGCAATTGTGTGTAAAATTAAACAAATTGTATGTAAAATCAATAATAATAAATGGCAAGAAATGCGCCGTAGCAGAGCCAACGGGTTAATGTGCGTGTTCAACTAATTACACAATCTGAAAAAGCACTTAAACAATTAACGATTGCGAATGTGAATGCGAATGCAAGCGGTACATTCACAGCAACAGTAACAGCAACAACAACTACTACATCGGCAGCAGCGGCAGGAGCAGGAGCGGTAACAGCATAAAGAGGCAAGCCAAAGAAAGAGCTGATGCCCGTATGTATAGCATATACATACGAGTATAGTGGTTATATGGTTGTGTATGTACAAGTATGTGTGCATGTTGGCGCTTTGGCAATTATCAGTTAAATCATTTTAATTAACACTTGCCAGCCAAATGTGATTTATCATATGGTTAAATTCCTCACGCTATAGCTATAGCGTTGCCGACTGAAGGATAAATGGCAGCCCAAGCGGGGCTCATGAACGCTGTTGAATGGGGCGCGTCAAGTCAAATAGATTTGTGTCTGTGTGTGTGTGTGTTTATTGATTAGTAATGTGTGAGTGTGTGTGTCTGTGTTTGCGCTTTTGATATGCCCGATAATGACTTCATTTTGCAAATTAAATGCCGTGCTGCCTGGAGGAGTGCTGATGATGCTCTTGATGTCAGGACTGTGAATCGGATTGAAGCGAGAGGCGGAGGCGGAGGCTGAGGCAGAGGTGCGGTTGCCTTCTCGATAATAAACATTGATTGATGGGACACTGATGTGCCTGAAGTTAACCATCATAGGTATAGCATAGGTGTGCCAAAGTCGAGCAAATCAGTTAGTTATTGAACTACTAGAAGCATGCAAAGAGTTCACTAATTATACAAATTATAAGCTGGAGCAACACAACGGAATTGGCAAAAAACAGAGAAATAGAAAAAACAAAAAAAAAAAAAACAATATGAAAGAAATGAAACACATACTAAACCAATTAGTCAATGATCGGTAATCAATAATAAAAAGTAAGTGAAAAACAAAATACCAGTGGAAACATATCAGTAGTGTCCGCTGCACGCTTCTTGCCCACTTCCAGTGCATGGCCCATGACAGCAGCAGCGGCGGCGGCGGCAGCAGCAGCAGCGGCAGCGTTGCTTGTGGGTGTTGTTGTTGTTGTTGCTGTGCCAGCGGCAGCAACGCCGCCAGCCGTTGGGATGGTGTTGTTGGCAAGGTGTTGTTGCTGATGCTGTTGTTGTTGTTGGTGGTGGTGGTGGTGTTGTTGTTGTTGTTGTTGTGTCAGTGTAGCAGCCGTAACAGGTGATGTCTGTGTGCGTGTGTGTGTGCGTGTGTGTGTGGACGTGCGTGTGCAGTTGTCATTTAAAAAGAAATCAATTGAAATTGTTTGTGTCACGTAATTAGGCAGCCAACAAATTCGTTTCAGTAGTAATATACACACACGCGTGTATATATATTTATATATATTTTAATATTTTAAGTTTTTCAAATGTTGACCATTTTCAATTCGAATTGTTGAAGTGGAATTAGTGTTGACATCCGAGTATTTCATTACAATCGAATGCAAATATTAATAATTTTCGTGTGACAACGTTTTTTTTAATGTGTGTGTATTGTGCATGTGTGTGTGTGTGTATTCGTAGTTGGGTGTGTGTGTGTGTGTGTTTTTTTTTGTGGCACCATCCATCGTAGAAGCAATTACAGTGTGGCACAGGCGAACAGATGGAATACATAATAGTAGAAGAGTACGAATGGTTTTTGTTTATAAATAAATAAGAGAAAACAAAAAGAATCAAATATAAAGAGATCAAATGTATAGTACTTTTTGAAAATAACAATTATTTGTAAAATTATGTGTATAAATATTGAGGGTACATCCGAAGCATTTCCCCAATTAGAGGACAAACATTTTCACAATTTTCTCAGTCCCTCAATAGATTCTTTGTAAATGTTTATAAATTTTATATTTAAACTTAGGATAAAATGCATTACCAACTAATTGTTACAAGTTAGAAATTGTTAATCATTTTAATGAAAAACAAAATCAATTGTCATTAGAAGCACATAATAAAAATAACATTTGTGTGAGAGAAGCTGGTTAGCAAACATTTGTTAATTTGTTTAAGAGTGTTGAAATAAAATATTATTAATCAGTCATTTGTAGAAGCTTGCCAAAAGCACAAAAGCGAAAAAAGCTTTGTTTCTTATTTGAATAAATACCATTTAATTATTTTAAATGTTAACTTAAACGCTTACAACTAACTTAGATGTTTATTTTTGCCTTAAATACATATGTATATTTGAAATGTGCCTGCATATATATATACTACTCGTACATATGTATGTATAAATGAACATTTGAACGCAACAAAATGTTTTCGCTTTGATTCAAAAGCCAATAGCTATTGCTTTTATGATTTTTAAAAAAACAACAATTTTGCCAAGGTTTGTTGTTTTGATTCGATTTGATTTTTGAGCACACATTCGTATTTCGTATTTGCATTGAAACTAAATATTGATAAATAAAACATATGACCAGATCAAACCGGTAGAGGCCGGCAGAGAGAGAGAGAAAGAGAGAGAGAGGCATATAATAAAACAGTACGCCAATTTTGTTTGCCAGCCCCAAGCACTTTTGTTTTCCACATACATGCAGGGGTAAATACAAACATACCTACCAATGCATCGTTGCTGCTGCACAAACAAAAAAATTATACAAAAAACAACAGAAAAATGGAAGCATAAAAACCAACAAGTTACACAATTCGATGCTTCCTGATGGCCACAAAGAGTAACGTAGAGTGCAGTGCAGTGGAATGGAGTGTATTACTTATAAATTCATTTATAAACGCGACAAGGTTCTCCAACTCGCACACACACATACACACACATTCCGTACATTTAAAGGGATCAGTGTTAATACGTTTAACACCGCAATTTACACACAAAAAAGCAAAAGGAGGAAATAGATCCGCAAATGGTTGGCTCGGTTGGGCGCCACATGTGCTAATAACTAAGCGGGCAGCAACGGCAACAGCAACAGAAAACAACAGAGAAAACATAACTTAGCATACATTTAGGCTGCCGTGCCGTGCCGGAGGCCATATGGAAGAGTACAAAAAATTTGCATTTAAATGGCTATGAGGAGGGGGGAGTGAAAGTTTGGGCCATATGGACACGTTCTTTGGGCGGACTATGGCCAAACGGGAGAGTCTGCGGTGGGGTGGCCCAACGAATTTGGCCTCCATGTCACCGGCAATGAATGCTACAAATGGATTAATTCGCTTGGGCACAGCACTTTTTCTATGTGTACAAGTTTGTGTGTGTGTGTGTGTGTGTATGTGTATGGACTGTGTGTCCTGTTGTGTTGTATGCTGCTTTTTGGGGTCAACTGCGGCACAAGCGAGTCTATAAAAAAAAAAAAAAAAACAGGGAATAAAAAACGTGAGGCACGCTGCCGTTGTACAATTCATTGGCATGGAAATCTCTGCTTTTAGTTAATTTTCCGGTTCAAACGTTAGCCTGCCGACTAATCCGTGCCGTAGTAGTCCTTCCCGGCATCAACATTGCACGCCGGGTTCAGAGCACAGGTTGACATTTACATATCTGGTCAGCTCGGCTCAGCTTTGGGAGGAAAAAAATCAACGCACAGCGGGCTTTCCATAGACTTTATTTCCTTCTTCTGCACATTCCTGGCGCCTCGTATCCCGTTGCGCTTACATGGGGATTTTAGTTTTGGGTGGTCATGCTTTGGTTTGTTGTTTGTGGTACACGACATGACACTTCGACAGCGACAGGCCCGAGGGCTGGTGGTCAGCAGCATGGCCTGAAGCGCAGCGTTTGACTTCGATTGGACGGATATAGTTCGACTTTGCTTTGAAAACATGTACGTTGCTAATTTTGCTGTCGGATCTGCTTACAGTTGGACTATTTGGGAATGCAGTCAAAAACGGTTGGGGCTTTTTATAAACTGTGCCGGAAGCATAATGTTGAACGAATTTGTCCGAAAACTATGCATGTAACAGAGAAAAGCGTGCCAGGTGCCAGAGGTAACATACTATATGTATGAGTACGGATGAGCCGTATAGAACACAGCCTTTTTTGCAGTTTTTTTTTTTAAAAAAATGTCATTTTTTTTTTTCATTTTTGCATAAAACCAACCATCGAAATGTTCGCTTCTAATCTGAGCTTAAAACAATTTCTAAATTCCTTCCAAATAATTTTTTTCAGTATTATCTATTTAACTGCGATAAATTCTAATTCTTTGTCATATAGCCCAATGATTCTCCTATATTCCCAATAAATGTTATGGGTTATAAACAAATATGGTATTATATTATTTATTAACGAATAACCAGTCGTTACATCTTGCATGAGGAAACGATGATGTTCATCCAGTTATTTGCGTAAATGTCTGCAGAACTAATTTATATTTTCACTGGATAGCATACAAGTAGAATTCGTAATCCGTAAGTATATGTATATGAGTAATCAAAGTAGTAGTGTTCGGTTATGTGTATGCTTGGAGAGTACAATTTGTAAGAACGTGGGGTTTCGGCGCCTGCAGTTTTATTTACCTTATTCATATAGCGCCAAACGAAAACGAAAGGATCTGAACACATAAGTAAGAATAGGAAGTAACAATCATCACCAAAAACAGAAAACATAAATTAAAACTCAAACTTGTATAGTTGTAGTGTTTGGACTGTGGCGTGATTCTGAGGCTCGCTAAGCCTATACAGTGTGGTTCGCCTCAGCAAGCTATAGCTTTGGATCTGTTTGTGTTTTGTATTGTTTATGCTTGTTCTGTTGAGTTCAACTTCTAGTCTTTTAAAAAGATATACTATATATTGATATATTGATAGAATTATGTATTGTATAGGTATATGTATAGTATTAGAAGGAGTAAACTAGCAACATTTAAGAGTATTGTAAGGAAATGGGAGATATTTTGAAATGGGTGTCAGGGCAGCACATTGAAGTTATTTTGCAGGCAAAAGTGGAACAGCACTTTACTGTTCCACTTGTGCGCTGCAGCTTGCGCCATGCAGTAATACCCCTAGCTAGCAGGAATAATTAAGATAAGTATTTACATATAGTATTTGTATGTTGTATTGGAGGTCTAGGAATACAATATGAGTTATGGATAGTATTTGCTATGATCTATGTATGTATGTATGATAGGGCGTTACTGAATATTTTGGGGGTAAAGTTGAATAGGGAATCAAGATTATCATAGGTATAGGTAAATATATGTATATATTTTAAGCTATATTAATATGTTGGAATGTAAGGGTATACTTGTAGTTCTTATGTGTGAAGAAAATAAAATAGAATTTTATGAAATAAGCCTGAGTTAACAAAACAAAAAATAAAATTTATCGCTAAATTAGCAACGCTGCATCGGGAATTAGAGAGTTCTATACGAATGGCTATGATGTCGTTAGTTGATCCACTATGTGGTATAATCACATGTACCTAGAATAGTACAATCGATCTTTACGAACTAATTCATCTCTAAGAATTTTGAATTTTATTAAAGTGCTTTGATGAGTTCAAAGAAAGTCTTTTACTTGCACTCTTTTACTTAACAAATAAAGAGGTTTAAAGATTTGAAGCTACGAGCATTTAAGGTAGTATTGCTATAACTAGTAATTAGGCATTAAATAAATACTGCAAATAAACAGTTAGATAGGTGTGTTTATTGTAAAAAGCGGTAACAACATTTTGGGCCAGGTCTGACCGATGCTGCGGCTATACTTGTAATCGCATTAAGCCAAAGCCATAAAGAAAATTATGCGCGGCTGTGTAAGTGTGGGGGCGTATTTGTGTGCGTGTGTGTGTGTGAGTGTAAGTGTGAGCTTGTGTCAAAGGACAATTTCATACAATAATCACGTTTGCCGTTTGGGCTTGTTGGCTGGCATGACACGATTGAATTACTTGAATGCTGCAACAATTTTTCACTTTATACGATATTATGCTGCAATTATGTGTGTCACGTTGGGGCAACAACAACGGCGGCAATGGCAGCACAGGCAGGGGGAGGCAGCGAGGACGATGACGTTGTTTTCAGCGTCAAATACATTTTCAGCAGAAAGCAATTAAGTCGCGAATTAAGTGCAGCGCATAGAGGCCCAGCGCCAACTCTAGCCCCGGACCCAAGCTGGCGCCCGGGCAGAGGCCACGGCAATGCCAGACACACACATACACATATGGAAAAAATCACGTACGTGCGCCCACGTTTGTGTGTTTGTGATCCGAGCATGTCGGACCGCCTGCCCGACTGCGTGCTTAAAGTTTTAACGCATGTTGTAATAAATGTTAATTTTCCAACGAAAATCAACATTTATGGCGTGTTTTATGTGAGCCCCAACATATTTTCCACGTTGTTCCTTACACGATTGTCAGTCTGTGCGAGTGTGTGTGAGTGGTATCGCACAGAAATCTTTATTTGTGTGCGCGCTGCTCAAGTTTAAATGTTATTGTTTAAAATGTAATTTTGTATTTTGCGCCTGATATGCCTGATATTAAATCAATGATTTTTTATTTGCTTTTGTGATTTACTTTCTTTTAATAACTAGCTGTTGTTGCTGGAGAAAAAACCCCCTTTAAGTGTTTTGCAAAGCAAGCTTGTTTTAAAGAAAACATATGGAGTAGGATGGAACTGAGGCATTCCATACAATAAATGGAGCACAAAACTTATGTAACAACAATTTTCCAATGAAATGGAAACTTATGACCCCTCCGTTCTTCTCAAAAGAAACGCCCGAGCTTGTGCGTAGAATATTTCGTTTCTCTCTAATTTGTTTGCTATTGGAAGCTTGGCTCTGAAGAATCACGCCAGCTATAATTCATATTTTTTGCACATAGATATAGCGAGTTAAGCCACGATTCAAATATAAACTACTTTACATTAACATAATTAATATCATCGACGCCTTTCTAATTAGGCATGAAATTTAATGTGCATGTTGCGGATATGCAGCTTCATTAAAATAACACCAAAATTTAAATAATTATATGTGCATATAAAGTTTTTATTTTAACGCCACTTGACACATTGCACTGTACACATATATATGAGAGAGTTGCATGGGTGTACTTTTAAACGCATATACCTCATCTCTAGTTGAAACGATTTTTAATGAAATCTCAATATGTATCTTATTTATATGATGAGCCAATGGGGCCCATTCGGAAAATAGTTCGGATTGGCGTATAATCCACTATAATTCCTGATTTCTAATTATTCTTAACTGAAAGGCATTGACTACTGGATTTGACAATTTGTATGATGGCTTTCCTTCAATCGTGATTTTCTCAAATTTTCAAAATATTTGTGTCGAGAATTTTAGATATACAACTATTTTTCGAAACGAAGTAAATAAAGTTTTTCGATAAAGAAGTCCTATTTATTTGTAACATTTTGGACACATCGTAAGTTTTTAATTTGAAGATCGAAACTATAGTTTAAATTTGAATTTTATTTGTCTGAATGTTGATCTCAATCACGTTAATTCGATATATATACTTATACATGTGAGGTTCTATATGTGTAAATTTGCACACATGCTGACTTTCCTCATGTAGTCCTCTAATGTGCATGTAAATGCGTGTTTCATTTATTTTTGGCGCTTAAGCACTTATTGCATTGTCGGCAGTGGTGTCATTTAAATACAACATAAATAGCCAGCATTTTTTTGTACAATTATATATAGACGTGTGTGTCTGTGTGTGTGTGAGTGTGCATATGTTTGTGGACTATTGTTTTAACAAACATAAATGTGTATACTTATTCGCTTTGCATAAGGTTAATTAAATTGTTTGCATGCAGCATTTGATTTTAATTAAATTTGCTTGGTAATTAACTGCTGGGAAGAGAATAATGGATAATGGGTAATGGCAAGTCAATCTCAATAATAAATCTTTATAGTTTTGCAGTAGAGCGGTAATGCGCTGAACAGCACTAACTACTTATCGTTCAACATTAAACGGCATTACAACAGAATTCCATTACACATTGCTCCATAATTTTGAGTCGAGTCATGGAGGCAAGCAAATTTAAATAAGTTGCGCACTCAGCTAATAAACTGATAGTTCTTTTTTCTTTTTTAGTTTTGGTTTTGATTTGCATTTGTCTAACTAGCTATTGACTAGAGGCTATGGAATTTGTATAAAAAACACTAGATAAAAATATCGTAGCATACTTTGTGGCGTGTGTTAGTGCAAGAGTAAAAGTGTTGTAGTAGTAGTTTGTTGAAATCATTGACAACAAAATGTATTTAAATTAAAATACAGTAAGGAAGTAAGAAAAGAACAATAACAGTAAGTAACAGTGAGTTGCTATTTGGCAAGAACTGCGTACAAAAAACAAACTGAGAGTAAAAAATAATTATTTGTAAATCATAAATTTATTTGAACAGCTGCCACATACACAAAACAATTATATATGTAGTATCGTATATAAAAAATTAGATTGAAAATCATAATGTAAACGTTAGGCGGCTTAAAAGTAAATCAATTCATCAATAAAACAAAAAAAAAAAACGAAATGAAAAGGAAATTAACGCAGAAATCTTTCGCACTTCTTTTTCGTTCTGCTGTGTTTGCTTTCGATTGGGGAAAGAGGTGCGAAAGGGGAACAAAAGATAGGCGAAATCGAAATGAAAGTAAAGTAAATATAGAAATAGCCATACCGCAGCTGCAGCAGCGACAGCGGTGGCGCGTGTTTGCGCCGCTTTTAATTGTGCCTGTAGGTGCAGGGGGGGATGAAAGTAGCGGCAGGGTTCACGTGCGCATCTGCCCTTCACGGCGTCCATGCAAACCGTGATGGAACCATCATCGTGTCTGGCGACGCTCTCCTGCGGATGTGCGAATCGGCATTCGGACTCCGCGCGTTTGCAGGCGCCGCGCAAGAATTCGCGACACACCTGGAACACACATTTTTGGTTGTTGTTGTTGTGTTGTTGTTGTTTTTTTTTCATAGTTTGCATTATTGCAGTTGGCGTTGGCATTTTTTTTTTTCATTTCGATTGATTTGGCAGCATTGTTGTTGTTGTTGTTGCATATAGTGTGTTGGTTGGATTGAACAGTTGATTGGAGTAGTTGTTGTAGTTGTTGTTTGTAGTTGGTTGGTTGGTTGGTTGGTTGGTTGGTTGTTTGGCGGGCGGCAGCGATAGCAAAGTGGCAGCAGTTGAGTGTACAAGTGTGTGTGTGTGTGTGTGTTTATAGGCGGTGGTTGGTTTCGGTTTGGTTGGTTGGTTGGTGTTGGCAAATTTTTCAGATTCGGATTCGGATTTATTATCATTTTTGGTTTTGTTGTTGTAGTAGTTGGTGTTTTATTTGTGTGTGTTTGTGTGTGTGTGTGTGTGGAAATAATGGAAGGATATTCAGTAACAGTTCATTTGTTGTATTTGAGGAACCAAAAAAAAAAACAAACATATATATATGTATATAGGAACAGTAAGTATTTGCGCAAAATATTGTACCGTTAATTTTTCGAAAGTTGGTTGATTGCTATTGCTGGTTGGTTTTTTGCGTGTTAGCCAATAGGAGCGTTATTTTTGTAGCATGCTGTGTGGCGGCGGGGTCTGCCAATTGCAATTGTCGTTGCAGTTATACGAGTATAGTAGTTGTTATTAGTGGCATTTCGGGCGGGATTTGGGGTTGCTTTACTTGCCTTTTTAATTTTGAGCGTGCCGATTAAATTGTTTTTATAAGTATTTGTCATTTTCTCATAGTGCTGTAAACAACAAAATGCAGGATAACGATAACACAAACAAAACAATAACACAAGAATACAAAAAAGAAAAACGGAGAAGGAAACAACAACATTAGGTCGTCAACTGAAACCAAATTGGTTCACAAAGAAGAACATATTTTGGACCCATAAGATATTCGATATAAAAGTACTTATATATATTCAGCACATACCAGATAGAAAAGCTACAACATTTAAGGGGAAAAGGGTTTGAAGTAAAAGTAGTAAAGTAAAGATTCACTTAAATAGTGAAAAGAGGGGGTAGAAGTGTTTAGGAAACAAGCGCTGATCAAGTTCTTTCAAGAACAAAAAACGTTCTCACTTAGTTTTAAATTTCTCTAACTAATTTACGAAAATCTATATTTTAACCTGTAGAGAGCCAATGGGTAGCCCATCATACTTGTATTTTCCTTCTCTTCCGGATTGGTAGTAAATTGCAATGCCAGCTGAGTTTAGTGGGAAAATATTTTGATTGACTCAGATTTTTCACACTTTTGTGCGACAATATTGTATGAAACGACAAGGAAAACGCCATTGGACCTTAACTATTGCATTGATTGCTAACATCTACTCTACTCTTCCTGTCGATAAAGAAAAAAGTCAAAATCTACAATTGGCTTTTGTTGGAGAATTCTGGAAACTCTAGTTTGCCAAGCCAAATAGGCAACTGTTGCAAAAGGTATTTTGATGGAATTACGTACATGAACTAAAAAATTGGAATACCTCAAAAGAAAAAAAACATATATAAGGTGCAAGCACGAATTTAATTTGATTTTTGCGGACATTTCTAATTCAATGTCGTACAGCTATTCCCGAAGAGTTCGCAGCACTTTGGGTTTTGGCAAACGGTTGCATTTGGAGGGCCAAAGCTTGGCAGCAGCTGCTAGGCAAAGCCTGCTACATACAATTGTGTGCATTTTCGGCATACAGATGAACATATATATAATGTACCGCAGATTGGCGAATTAAATATAGTAAAAGAAATGAACTATAAATAAACTTAAGAGATTATGTCAAAACTGTCATATTTTGTAACAACAAGAACGATTTTTGGTTTTCCATTCCATTCGTATCTTGCACAAATGGGGCGCGTTAGAGAATGTTCAAATAAGAATGCGAATACGAATACGAAGACAAGTGTGTGTTTGTATATATCATCTTTGTAAATTGTAAATTTTTGTTATTTGATTTTTAGATTTTGGCAAACCGAACATAACTTAAAACACTGTACACAATGTCCGTTGCAATATTTATACATATATAGGTAGTATACGTTAATTAACTCTAATTTAAAATGATTTAAACGAAAGTCTCTTAAATGGCATGCTAAATAAAACACACATTGCTCATACAATTAAAACAAAAGCAGTCTGCATTTTGTTTTTATTGCGTGTAAGTGTTGTAAACGAGAGATTAAAAAAAAGAATATACAAACATACAGAACATAAATTAATCGAAGCGTAAATTAAAGCATAATTGTAAAGTAGGTTTTGTTTATTGGCTTTAAGTACTTGTTGAAATAGATATGTGGAGCTTACCTCTAATCTGTCGGAGCGTGGTATTTTCTGTTGTGCCACCTGCACCGCTTGCGGCACCACCGGTCCCAGTTGTGAGGCGACGGCTGTTGGATCGGGACCCAGTAAAGCAGGCACTAAATGTCCGGGCGCATAATATGGACTGTATGTGCTGGCTGGTATGCCGGTCAAATAGGGATTTGTGGCCTGTGGATGCAACAATGGCTGCAATTAATTACAAAACATGTGCGGCATTCATTATAAATTCCGTCAGTCGGCCAGTCAATCATTTGGACAGTCGTTCAATCATTTGTCAATGGCCGCCAGGTCATTATACGCTCATCAACATTTAAAATATGGCCACGCATTTACACCACCACCACTGCCACCACCAGCCCCACCAGCCCCACACAACAAATACACCAAACAGTTTAATCCTTCCACACTGTGGCTCCCTAATACTCGCTAATGAAAATTCATGCATTTTTTAGCACACACAGACAAACACAGCGTGATAGGCCGACAGTCGGACAGACCGACAGTCAGAGGGACGCACAGAACATGGCCGACCCAAATCGGCTGGCTCATGGTTACCCCATCAACAACAATTTGGGACTCCACCCCGCGCTAATGGCTGCTCTCGTTCAGTTGTGGCTGTAGCCGTGGTGGTGCCAAAAAAGCATGTCGCAAATTATTTGAGAATTAATTTTCGATTTGTTATGAAAGTCCAGCAAAAAACTGATTCTGCTTGATGGTTTTCGTAAGGTTCGTTGGTGGAGCCACCCTGAATGAATAATGCATGCAGTGCGGCATAGAAGCGGCAAAAACTCCTTCACGCTACTCATTTTCGCGCATTTTGAATAACATTTTTCGGGTTTTGATATTCATAGTCATGGTCGAGTTGCAGAAGCAGTAGAAGGAGCAGAAGGAGCAGAAGCAAGTGCTGCTGCCCGCTTCCACTTATAAATATTCATATTTCATTGCCTGTCTGTCCTGTCAGTCTCTCTCGCTCCCTTACACTTTGTGCAATCCAACACTTTGGCCTCGGTGTGGATTTCCATGGAAATGCGGCAAAGGCCACCAGAATGTATAGTATTATGTGATATGCGGAAGGGAATGGCGATGGCGATGGCGATGTGACGACAGTACTTGCGGTCGCGCTTAGAAATTCAATTAAAGTCTTAGAATGCTGGCAGGCTTTTAGGCGTATAATAGTACGAGTAGTAGTAGTACTTAGTAGTAGTATAGTAGTTTGTCGTACTTACCACTGCTGGCACTTGTCCCGATATAACCGGCTGGCCGGGCGTGATGCCCATCTGTTGCATTAGTGCGTTCTTCAGAGCCAAATGATTACGACCATTTATCAATAATTGATCCTTCAGATGCTGTGGTGGATGAAAATATTTGCACGGCGGTTTATCACGATTACAACGTCCCTGAAACGAGAAGCAGATGGAAAAATGTTTAAATATTGCATAGTTGAGATGCTGCAACTTCTACCACTAGTGCCAAGTTAATAAATTTCCGTCAATTGACAGCCACTGAGTGTGCCATAAAAACAATTCGTTCGTCCCCATCTTGCTCAGGACAATAAGGGGAGAAGGACTCTCATTTAGCTATACAAGTAAGTTCTACCACATAGTTTGGTATTTCATTGCTCTGGCATTTTTCGTTCTTATTTCGTTTTCGATTTGTCAGCTCTTGTAATCTATGGAGCACTTGCTTTTGTTTTTGTTTTTATTCTCTTCTGGTTCTGGTTCTGCTTGCTGTTGGCGATGCTGCTGGTCCTGTGAGTGCGACAAAAGTCGCGTGCGCGACACATAAATAAGCACTTCATAAATTACTTGGAAAATTTATGTTAATGTTTTGTATTTCTTGGCATTTGCCTTCGAGTGGGGCACTATATTCCAGTGTATTAAGTATTTAATTAGTTACTGTTTTATAGTAAACGTTTTTCAAAAAATTTAAGAGGAATTCACAAAAATTTCTGGGCTTAATTTTTTAAACTTTTTATAGTTAACATTTGTTTCTCGCCATATTACATTACATAATTTGTATATGCCACTGAAGGGTATTTTTGGCAGATATCCAAGTTGGCTACATTTTGTTGATAGCGTTTTTTCTTTCGTTTCAAATCAGTTCTACTTATTCGTTTTTTTTTTATCCACAATGTTCTGCGGAAAATTATACCAATTACTGGAATTTAAAAACCATTACATGCTAAAATGCTTCTCTAAAAAAGGGCCAAGCTAATTACCTGCACGTATTCTAACATTTTTTCGCGTGTCTTTGAATTGGTATTTGTGGTTAAAAAAACGAACCTATAAAATTTTCAATAGGTTGGGCCACACAATCACAAACAATAGGCACGTAGTATGTGTGTTAATCCGAAGGAAAAATAATTTCACTTCATTAGCAAGTGCAATTATGACGAGCGATTATGGCATGCAACGATGAAATTCTTTATGGCGCAAACCAAAGCCAAAATGTCAACAGCAATTATAAATATAATGGCGCATAACCATAGGATCAGACCATCACAGCTAATGCCCAGCACATGCAAGATTGCATGCAAAAACAATTCGACGGAGTCGACGAGAGGCTGGGGCCTCAAATTAAGGGCAGACCCGCACGACAGACTCACACGCCCGGGCGGCAAACAAATATGCATGTAAATTATATTTAATTCAGAGAAAATGAAGTTAACAAATATTTGCATATACTGTGGCCATGCCTTCATGTACACGCATGAGTGTGCGAGTGTGTTTGCGTGCATGAGTGTGTCTGTGTGCATGTAAATATTGGGTAAAAAAGTTATAAAAGAGCTTTATATGAAAGAAATGTGTGCATAAATTGATTGTTTACTTGGGTGCTGTGCTTTCGGCGTCGGACTTACACGTGGACATCACTCGAAAGTGCATTTAAAATTTATGATGGCCTAAAAGCTGCGAAAATGTTGCGAACAAACATTATGATAGAGGCGTATTCCATTCTACATCAGTCTTTAATATTACATTTTACCATTTTATTGTTTTATACATAAATATTTGTGTACATATTTTTGCATATTTTAAACGGAGGGTGCGAGATAATCAATCAACAACAATTGCATGCTGATTATTATTTAATAGGAAATTGAATTTGAAATTAAATGTGTCAAGTAAACATTTATTCGACAAATTTGCACGCTAACGAGTCCCTCTTGCACCACATAGACCCCAATAATACTGTTTAATAAATGTAAAGAATTTAGCGGAGCATTCATGAACACAAGGTCTGCTATTTCCCCTAAAAATCGAATGAATTTTGTTAGATTGAAGCATGAATTAGGAAAACAAATATGTATTTTCTTTGTTTCAGGAGTTATGCGTTGACTTTCTGAAAACCAATGATAGCCTTGTTGGCAACAGAAACAAAGAAAGATCGACAGACAGGTTTAGAATAAAGATATCTTTTCTGGGGTCCGCCACACCTCTTTTTTAGTTGCATATTTCATAAGAAAAATCAAATTTACTCTCCAGTATTTACAGTTTAACTGACAATTTTTTCATGGATCTGCAGAGCTAATGTAACTAATTTTCATTTTTGTGTTTTGGCAAAAAAGTGTTGCCTACATTTGAGCGTTGAATGATGGGATCTAAGAACCTCGCTTGTAATTGTTAGCCAAATATGTCTTGTTTATCGATTCTAAATATTTATTGACAAGATAAACAAGTCAATATTTTTCCTTGCAAAATCTCAATCAGAAATTCCAAACGCGCAGCTATGCATCACACACATAGCACGACAGTACACAGGCATACAAACATGCATACATAACTAACCCATTGGCTGCTTTTGCAGTTAGTTGTTGTTGATGTTGATAAGTACTTGTTTGTGCTCAATGGCGCCAATGGCTGTAATTTAATGCTTCGATTGAGTTTATTTAACAGCAACAACTTGCAGCAGATTTCGTGGCAATAATGCAGTCATCTATGCACTATCCTTCCAGTTACCTCGCTGCCTCGCTGCCTCGCATTGCCCTGACTGTTGTTTTTAAATGTCACAACAACTGTCTGCCAGCCAATCAGACAACTGTTCAACCATGTCTGTCTCTATTTGTGTCTGCCTGGCTGTATTTGCCGCTTGCCAGCTCTTGTTTGTTTATGTTCAGGTTCCTGTGTATTGATGTCATTCTACAGTGAAAGCACTTGTACTAATTTGCTATAATTAAATACTAATGTCATTTTTGTATCGCTACTTGTTGCAGAAATGTCCTTGTTTGCTCACTCTCTCCCTAATTCGATGTCGTATTTAGGTTAATTGGACATGATTGGCAGCAGTGATGAAGTCATGAAATGATAAACTCTGTATTTGAAAAGAGCCGTTCCTCAATTTAATTGGCCTCGAAGCTAGTATTTGGAAATTGTTAATAAAAGAAGAAGAGAGATTTGATGTCGAGCTCTTATATTTATTTGGGCCGATTCGTGTATTATTACTATTTAAATTTTGAAATAATATATAGGTTGAGTTTCCTTTCTGGCTCTATAAATGATCGAGCAGTTGTACAATTACGAGTATTTGACATCTTTTAGCACTTTTTAAAGTAATTGCCAATGTGATTTGCAAATTTAAATTGCATTTGCCCTGCAAATGCGCTCTGAGAGCAACCTGACCCGTACCATGGTGTCACATTATTTTCCGTCCACAGGATCTAGCATTGGTGTGGACGCCTTCCTCTTGCGTTTTTCTGCATTTTGCATAAAATGCGCCGTACGGCAGACATTATCTCAAATGTCAACACACATACAGACAGAGAGACATACAGGGAAGAGAATGGCCCGCTGGCCAATTTCTTTGGCTTTAGTTTGCACGCCTTGCACGCCCCTAGATATGCAACACTTTCTATCACTTTTTGTAAGTATTTCGGTGGCAGAGAGAGAGAGAGAGAGAGAAAGTTTGACATTGCAACCATGCTGCTATTTTAAAACAGCGCCCGCTTTCTTTTTCTTCGCCATTTTCCTGCCTTCCGTTTTCGTATTCTCCGCTCGTTTCTCCTTTTTTTTCGTTTTTTTTTTTTTTTTTTTTGTACGCCACACTAAACATTTTCATGTCATTTCGATTGTAATCTGCATGACTGCCTCGCAACGCTCGCCGTGCGCAGCAATGGAAAAAAGCGAGTGTGAAAATTGCAAATGTTGTCCACTCACGCCCACACCCTCACTCACGCACACAGACCTGCAGCAACATATTTGCATTGTGCGTCTGTATTGGTTGGTGTTAAATTTTTCGCTGCATTTTCACATTGGCCCATGGCTGGTACGTATAGTATATGCATGTAGTTACCCTTTTTTCATGCAGCAATTTTTTGCCATAGCCTGTGCAGATTATCCGCTTTAAATTGCAATCATTACTTTTTTTCTTTACACATTTTTTTATTGTTTTCCTTTCGCCTCGCAGGGGGTGAGTGGCTGGCTATCTACTAACGGCATTTCAGAGTCATTTTTCTTCTTCGCTACACTCGAAACAATGTCGCTGTCGGTATTCCTGTCGTCTAGCGCCTGATGATGTCCTGGCTGCCTGCCTGTCTATCTGTCTGGCTGTCTCCCTGCCTTTCCAAATGTCTGTCTGTCTGTCTGTCTGCCTCGTCTTCTTGGCCAGCTGGCGGTCTGGCTGCTTGCATGCGTTGTTGCGTTGCAGCCAAGGCAGCGGCTAAAGGAATTTTTCATGTTTTCATGCCAAGTCCAAGTCCAAGTCGAGTCCAGTCATGTATATCGCACCGTGTCGTATCACCGCCAGCACACACACACACACACACACCACAGACCCACACAGACACATGTGCCCTGTGAATAAGGCAAGCAAGGTCTAGCACTCAACGTTTGCTACTTCGACGCCGACTTTAGGTATTAAATGTCATTTTGCATTTCGTGACAAGTTGGCTAATCTGACTCGAAAGTTATTTATTTCTTCTTTGTTGAGTGCAAAGGAATTTTTCTTACACTTTGCTTGCCAGCATTTACATGAGTTTTTTTCTCCATTTCTGTGCTGGGTACTTTTTCAGCATTTCTTGTTCTTTGTTTGCGTGCGACTCTGACTCTGACTCCGGCTCTGGCTCTGGCTCTTTGGTGGCTACTTTCCTTCAATTTGGCTGCAATACGGATCGCCTTTGAATGCTAATAAAATGGATTCTTATGCAAATTTAAAACTGTTTAGAGGTTTGCGTGGGCTTGGTGCATTCGAAGTGGAATCGGCTACACAGGGTATAGGTTACAGTTGGCTATAGTTGAACAAATTCATTAAGCAATCAGATTAATGAAGACGTGTTCTTTAATAATCTACTCTATGAAATAAATTTGAAGCATATTCAGTTCTGCAAGAAATCATTTCCATAAATGTTCTAAAAATGTGCAGGGATTTTAAATTGAATTATTCATTAAAAAATAGCTGCTATACG